CTGGAAATGATAAACTAATGCATTAAAAATTGGTAATGAAAAAAATTTGTTACCAAAAGTTAAAATAATTTTGTTTAAAATAGGCGAAAGCAATTCCAAATTCATTCCAACAGGTTTTCTAAAAGGTTTGAAAATCTAAAAATACAAAAACCTAATTTTTTATGATGTTCTCAATGTTATTATTTAGGTAATCCGTTGACATTCATTGAAACGAAAAATATGAACTCGATAGTATAGCTTGCTATGAAAGCATGTTTTCAATATCAGACCAAAACCAGACCCCTTGCAAGGATTAGTTAAGAAAAAAATAAAAATTTACCCACTGCGAACTGTGCTAAAAACAGTTAACGAATTCTCTTAAAAAGGCTTAAAAAAAAATACAAAGCTAAATATTAAATTTTCTAGTTAAACAGGGAAAAAAGCAGATAGATGTAGGTGGAAAAAAGGTAAAGGGGCAACATTGCTGTCCACTTGAAAATTGCAGACAAAATTGCATATGTGTATATACCCAGCAGGGAAAAATTTCCACTTGCTAACTTGAATTCAACTAGTTTACATTTTTGCACAAACAAGTTCATATTCCATCCATTTTCCATGTAAGCAACTGGTGTTTTTAACATGGCGATATCCCACGAACTGTCAGTTGTGAGCCTATGCATCAGCTGCATACTAATTGTATACCAGTTCATATATTTCAATCAAAATAGTGGTTCATTGAAACCAGTTCGGTTGACACCGGTTCAAACGGCTTAACCGATTATAATGACTTTTTTTTGTGTGCTCAGTAGATTTGGGAATGGTTTTGAAAAACTCCTATAACGGGAAATTTACTAGTAACCGACTTATTTGAAAAACCGCATTAGTGGTTCACTATACTTGAATTTTGGTACATTACACTTTGCAGGCAGTGGATCAGATTGGATTGATATATGTATTTAAAGCTCAATTAAAATGGTTTATCATTTTTTACAATTTAAAAAAATATAAAAGAAAACCCAAAAATATCTTGTTGTTGCATCGCCAAGTCTAATAATGTCTGGCCTAAGTTTCTAGTTACTTGCTTTTTTTTTGCAAATTAAAAAAATGGTATGAATTCATCCGCGCAGTACTAGCTCATATACTATAATTTTTGCAAACTAGTTCAGTATAATTCTAGTCCACAGCAAACTAATATATTTTTTGTTCATTAAATACTAGTATAATGCTGGTTTACTAAAACCTAATATGATTTCTAAATATAAGTTACTTACCAGAATTTTTGCAATTTATTCCTGTTTTTACCGAAAAAGACTAGTAAAATTCTAGTCTATGGCAAACTTATACATTCTTTCTTGTTTTGGTTTATAACAAACTAGTCTACTTTTACCCTGCAGGGTATGTACACACGTATAGGCATATATGCATAGGTAGTTCATTTGGCATGAAGCAAGATGATAACGCCTAAAAGTATACAGTTTTATTGTTGTGATGTATGCTCATAACCATAGCCTTATTAATTTTTTCTGTTTAAAAAATTGTTTATGTTACAAAGTCTTAGAATACATAGTGTATTCAAGAGTATAACCACAATTTTAACGGTCTGTACAAAATATTTACCGACTCGTCTATAGTGGTGGCGTTTCTTCTCATCTCCGAAACATTACTTAAACTCTCTATTTTGGATAGCCATCAGTTCTTATAACGATGAATTTTTCATATTTCTGGGTTGCCCTGAACCCGTGACTGATCATGGAAGATCGCGGTTACACTTGCCTCTTACACTAAACACCTACAGATTTGTTCACCAGCTGCTGTAAAATTAAATGGGAAAAGAAGAGGAAATTAACTTAATTATTTAAAGCATTCAGTTAGTAGATTTTGATGCAGAAAAGCGAATCAGAGGAATCAATGTTGGTGAAGTGTTTAGCAAACTCGTTACACAAAGATCTAAAAGGGTCGTTGGTCCTTCACGAACACAATGAAAGGGGCCTAAAGTGTCTTGATGGTCCCAAAGGGATTGTAAAGTTGTGCTCGCTAAGTAGGAATGGGCAGCTGATAACAACTCTCATCAGTTTAGTTAAAAATAAAACTCCAAACATCTTCCGAAGACCATGTACTGAAGGCAGATTAATGAGCCGTAAATGAGTTTTGTAAGAAGGTTTTTTATTCTCATCCCAGTTTAAATTTATTTAGGCAAAAGGAATTGCTTTTGTACAGATTCCAATTTATCAGTTTGCAATTGACTCCATACAACTGAGTCATATTCCAAAATGGGACTAGTAAGTGAGGTAAGGAGTAACTTGGTTATGTGTGCGTCATTTAGCTCCTTATCCCAACGTTTAATGAGCTGAAACGTCTTTTGCCTTATTAGACGGCCATGGGATTATACGAGAGAAAAGTTTTGTGAGAGATTTGTGGCCATTTTCGGAACTAATGACATTGATAGAGTTCAGCGAATGAAGAAACAGCGATTATCCTATGCAGTACTCTCCAAGGTCTTAACTATCGGAAACTTTTTTAATATTTAAAAGAACCTCACATGATTGTCGCATTAAAGCAATAGATGACATGAAAAGAGTTTCACTAAGAGGCTATCTCAGTGATCGAGTTTGAAAGTATTTATTCCGATGTTTTTGGGTTCACTCCCCAAATCTCTCTCCAAATAAATTTGTTTGTACTTTCTATTTGGTAATTTAGTTTAAATCATTTTTAAGAATAACTATTTTATTCACTTTTGATTACACCACAATCACTTTTGGTTATTTAATTAAGTTTTACTTTATTGCCCTCCGGTTTTGTTCTACATTTTTTATTTTATTTCCTTTTAAATTAAATAAATGTAACTAAATAAAATTTAAGAGAGGATATTTAATAAAAATATTTAATAATTTCTTACACACTTTTTTATAAATTTTTTTGAAATTTATTTCATTGCGCTTAAGTACATTCATTTATTAACTTTTTTTTTATTTATTCAAGAAACAAAAAGGAATCATGAAACTTTTACTCAAACCCGCGCGACACGCTTGTAACCAAATCTCTCAACATGAGTAACATTACTACTGAGTGATCTGCAGGTCTAGTGTTCGTAGAAGAGAAGATTTTTACAACAACTTCCCCAGCCTATTGGTACCATCATCACGGCTCATACCAGGTGAGTGTCTTACTACTCTCTTATGTATAATCCAACAAATATGCGCAATCGGGTGTGTGCACGGTTAGAAAAAACAGGGGGTCAAGAACTTCATATAAAATATTAATGGATTTTTTTTTTTTTTTGAAAATCAATTTAGTTATACTTACATATCCAGTGACCGCTTCCTCTATATAACCAAGAATTCAGATCCTAATTCCTCACATTTCCAACAAGTTGAATTTAAACACTTCATTTTTTTTCAAATTTTACATTTAAAATTTTTATTTCTTGTTTAATTAATGGAATTTTTGCAATAAATTGACGAATATTGTTTTATTGATATTTTGTATTTTACAAACTTGAAATATTAAATTTATTTAATTTTAATTTACAGTGCGCTTAAGAGCTAAACGAATTAAAAGAAAACAAAAACAATTTCTCATTTCTTATTACTTCGTATTAAATACATTTTTTAGCTCCTTTTATTTTGTTTAATGCATAAATAAAATTATATTTTGTTATTCTTTTTTAGAGATTTCAAATTAAATTGAATAATTTTACTGGTTTAAGTGCTTTTGCTTATGATTATGTACCTATGTATGTATGTGTTGTGTATGATAACGCTTACTTATTGTTAATTAGGTCCATTTTTTTTAATTATGTTTGTATGTATTGTAGTATATTGGCTTTGGAACTTGAAGTTTTCATTAGCTGCTTGATTTATGTTAAATTACATAAATGTATGTACATACATACATATAAATACATTTATGTTTCTGTAGCGATTTTGCTGATTTTTTTTTTAAATTTTTCTCATCGGCTTAACGTGAAATTAAAATATATAAATTAAAAGTTTAGTTAAATAATCACTGGTAAACGAATTATATAATACTTGTGCTTTTTTTGTTTGCTTTTTTTATTTTTTGAAAAATTAAATAAAAAAACATTGAAAATATTGTCCGCTTTATTATTAAAATGACAGTAATAAAATTTTCTTTGAAAATTTAATATACATATGTATATTAAAATAATTGTGACTGAGACTTTATTATTTTTTTTTTATAAATTCAATTTTTTCTATTCACAATTGGTGGTGAAATCTAAAGATTTTCCAATTTTCTCGTTTTTTTTGCGAAACTTGCTCATTGCTTGGTATCAAATACCTAAAAACTTAACTTTTAATATAAAAAGAAATTGAAACATAACGCCAAGAAGAACTGGTGAGTAGCATAAAATATTTAATAGTTTTAAAACATAAATTAAATTTTTTAAATTTTTTTTTTTTTAATAAAGGATATGTGCTTTTTTCATGCTTTGAGAGAAATTTTCAAAATAATTAAATACATATACCAATTAAGTATAACATTAACACTAATTATCTAGTTGCAAATGGAATAAAATCAGATTTTATTTGATATTATATTTTTTAATTTTCATTTCAATGTAATTTGCTTTTCTTTTAGGTTTATTTTATTTTTGCGAAAACTAATTTTTATTTTTATTTTGAAAAAAAAAAATTGCATTACTTAAGTTTAATTATTTTAGGTTTACTTCACATTATTTATTTCACATATTACATACATATTTTTTTATATACTATATATTATATAATATATGATATTTAGAAATGCCATCTTTGGTTTTCACTACATTTTAACTATAATATAATTTCATTATTATTTATACAGTATAAATTTTTTTTTATATTTTTAAATTACAATTCAATACTCAAACTACTTTAAATAATTGAAATTAAAATTTTACTTCTGTTATTTTTAATAATATTTAATAATTATTTTCTTTTTATTAATTTTTAAATTTTGAGTTTTTTTGTTTCACATATGTTTTCTATTTAAATTAAAGTAAATTATTTGTCATTTTCTCTTTTTATTTTTTATTTTTATTTAAAATACGCCCACACATACCTCTACATATTATATTAAATGTTGACTATAAATTAATTCATAGAGGAAAATTATACGCAAACTTATTGTAAAGTTTTTTGGAAGTTTATTTACATGCATTTTAATTTGATTATTTTAGTATATATGTCTGTAAAGTATACATATGTACATGTATTAGAGTTCTAGATACCCGTTCGATACTCGTTCGTTGCTCAACCACTCAAACATTTGTTTAGAATTTCCAATTTGTTTCTTAATAATTCATAAACAATTCAAATAAATTTAAAACTACACAAAAGAGTGCTCAGAAAAAAGTCAAACTTTTTGCTCAAAATGCACGAAAAAGCTCGTACTGTTCGAATTGCTCGACTTGTGCTCGAAAAATTTCGGGTAATGAGCAAAAAATGAGTTTGCGAGTATACGTCGCTCAAATGCTCGAGCTGTTCAAAAATGTTTGAACGAAATCCTAGGCTCTATTACGACTATGTACATACATATGTATATACACTTTAAAAACTAACTTATTGAATTTATTTTCTTTTTTATACTAAGGACTTGGGTATATCGCTTGTATCAGCATTACAAACAAATAATTAATTATTGCCATACTCAGTACACTTGAACTTGTGTAATGTATCTAACATAATGGTTGGTTCACAATATTCATGCTGAGACTATGGATACATACATATATGCTTACTCTCACTTCAATCACTGGTAATCGACCTTTTCAATTCTTTTCTTTATATAAAAACTTACGAAGCCACCTGGTAGTTCAGTATGCGTGAATTTTTTATCACATCCTAAATTTTGCTAAAAATAAATTTAATATAAAGAAAAAAGCACTCATTTCTATATTCACTTTAATCACGCTCATCATATTTGTTGACGAATGAATTGAGTCCCTGCAGCTGTGAGCCGTCGTAGAGTGACATCTTTAGCCGTTTGCATTTGGCCCGACGATTTTTGAACCAAAATTGTACGTTTTTACTTTCCAAGCGTGGAAACTTTTGCCTAGAAATATTAAGAGAAAAGAAAAGATGAAAATTTCGCTATTAGTTTGCGATTTAAATTCCAAAAATATACTGATCAGTATTGATAATCTACATTTTCTTCTATGAAAAAAAAAATATAAAAAAAATCAACTTAAATTAGCAAAGCCGCATAAAAACAAATCCTGGGTTCCATATAAATACTGTCTAACGTGTGTGAGATTTCTAGGCAATCTAGACAATTGGCGTTTGCCATAGCAATGATATGGACGGAAAGAAAGTATCATGTAAGAGATTTGTTTGACTCAAACTAAAGGCAACCAGATCCAAGCGCACTGTCCACTATCCGAACTCGTCCCAAACGAAATTACCCGTGGACACAATGTAGGGCCCACCTACCTCCAAATCGTTCAGAATGACAGGATTCAACTGTAGAATAAATCCTTAGTCAGCGCACACAAGTTGTGAACCGTTAACCTGAAGAGGGAATAATTGTGGGTCTACAAATACGCCAACGGACAAAGGATTGTACCTTTGAAAGAAAACTTAATTACCGGAAAAAGCTTGCCCGGTAATGTTGGGTGAATATTTTAAAGAACCTTATTGGATTTGAACTTCTCTCAGGAAAATTTTAGCGATGTGAGTGACCAATAAGTTGAGCGGTTCCCTATAGGATATTTCCTTAATGAGAAAGTGGAGTCCGGAAATATAATTATATATATATATATAATTAAATCTTTGTAATCACTGAAGCGAGTTTCTGTCCAGCTCCTCCTCCAATTTGTGGTTTTGCATCTTGATGTTTTTCCAACAAATGGAGGGACCTACAGTTTAATTCGCTTCTGAACGGCTGATGGTTTTTTAGGAGGAGTTTTATTTCATGTCAGAAATACACTCGGAGAGGTTGACATTTCCTGCCCCAATAGAAAATTTAGCTTAATTTTTTATTTTAATTTATTTTCTATAAATTTTGGATGTTGGTCGCAGGGGGACTTGAATCCGATCCTTCCGAATGGCAGTACGTAATGCTAACCACTCGACTGTCGCGACCGCGAACTTATTACGATATCAAAATCAAAGATTTAGCTCCAGTTCAGAACAGTTTTAAGGAACTTCTATTTTCATTCCCTTCTCTTACTTGTCTCCCTTTTTATACTCGGACTGCAACTTAAGTGTATCAAATTTTCCAATATTCCATCTATTTCCTATTTTAGTTTTGTAATAATTATTTGTTTTTCCATTCCCCCAACTCACCTGTATGGCATTGTGTTCAGATCCTCCGTATACTTCAGTATCAGATTGTGTGAGGGATGTGTATTCAAGGCGAACCATTGTTCCAGTTTCGGCACTTCGGTAACTGGATCGATGAAGGTACGGTTGCGCTTGCGACGCTCCTCATTCGACATGCTCGACAAATTCAAGCCACTAGGATTCATTAACGCACTCGGTGGCATGCCAGCTGCAGCTGCAGCAGCGGCGGCGTGATGAGCATGCGGATGATTGGCAGCCGCTTGACCAAAACCGGGTATATAATGGCTCATGTACATGAAGGACTGAGAGAACATCGAATTGGGTACCATGGGAAAGGGCAAATCTTTGCGCTGCGTCATGGCATTAGTCAGATCGGGTGAAGGTGAACGATACTCATCGAGTTGTGAGACATCATTTTCGTTGTCGTCATCGTCATCTTCGAGATCGAGATCGTCGTCCTCTTCTTTGGGCGAATTCATTTTGGGTGAGGAATGGGCTTGCGGTTGTGTGTTGACGGCATCACAGGTTTGCTCATTATTGTTATTGTTGTTGTTGCTGTTGCTTATAGCGTTATTGCTGTTATTCACGTTGTTGTTGTTGTTGCTGCTGTTATTCATATTATTTAAACAGTTATTATTATTGATATTGGTATTTCTGTTGTTGTGTTCGGCATCATTTTGCTGTTCATTTGTTGGATGTTCATTGGAATTATCGCCTTGTTGGTCTTCAGTTTGTGCTTCGTTTTGTTTCGTCTGCGCTTGTGCTTCCTCTTCGTTATAGCTGCGTGAGCACGAGTGTAACGATGGATTGAGCGAACCATTCAGCATGGCTTGACAGTCAGCTTCGTCTTTAAATGCGCCTTCAACACCGCTGAGGTCCCGTCGGCCCTCAGCCGTATCCATATTGCCCTCCGCGCCCTCCAGTGGTGAATCACGATTACGCTCGTGTGTGGTAAGTGAGAGCGGTAGCTGTGGGGAACCAGGCCGACTATTGTCTTCGTCCATGTCATCCGAATGCTGAGACATTGTGTCCACATCCTCCGATTTCAGACTCAGCGGACTCTTCAAGTAGTCATGTGACATGGCTAAATTAATATTACTGCTACTCATTTGCTGACTTCCACCGCTACTGCTAGAGCTCTGACCCAGCTGCCCGTGTTGATTGAGCATGAAACCATTTAAACCGGGATGACCGAGCGCCGCCAGACCGCCACGCATCTCTGCACGTTTCTGTGCAGCGCGTGCATTCTTAAACCAATACACGACATTGTTAACATCCAATGGCTTGCGACCACGACGCGACTCTAACGCATTCAATTGTACCACATACGTTTGTATTTGCTGACGCGATGGATGTGGGTTCTCCTGAAACCACTTTTGTAATTTTGGTAATTCCATTTCGGGATCAAAACTGGTACGCATGCGTGTCTTTTGATTGGGATACTGTGAGTGTGGATGGTGATGGTGATGATGCATTGACGGATGCATGGCCGGATGCACTAACATATTGGGATGATGCGCTGCAGTGCCAGCCTGTGGACCGTGGTGTGCGCTGTCATTCATAAGCAGTGAATCGCGACTTCCGCTTAGGCTGTGTAGGTTAGCTCCCGGCACATTACCTACACCGGTTGCCGCATGTAGGCCTGCTTGTGCAGCTGCAGCGGCGGCGGCAGCGGCTGCAACGGCTGCCGAGCCGACGGGGAAATCCATTTCGTTGGGCACTGACGATGGCGCTGTTAGGAACGGTAACATTTTTGGTGTAATACTTGATTGTGGCGTTAGTTGTTGCGACCACCACTGATCGAATTTGCGTCGCAAGTCATCTGAGATCTCACCGCCGGGAAAAGCATATGGGTTTTGGTAGGAAGCTCGACAGATTTGTGAGAGCGTCATCTGTGGTTGGAAAGAAAAAGCGAGGGAGGGAGAGAAAGAGTAAATAAGTTAATTAATTTTGGGATGAAATGAGGCTTAGATATAAAATAAAATGTTCTTCTGAGAGTAAAAGAACTCTGTCCGCATAGAAATTTACATTTTTTTCAAAACTTATAAAGTATTGCATAACAATTTATAATAAAGTTTAGGGATTGAAATGTTGAGACATTAAAATATAATAAAACTTCGATCCATATTATGGAATAGCAGCTTATTTTGACTAGACCGGTCCTGGAAAGAATTTCTTCTACATATTAGCCTAGGCGAATGGCTATCAACGCTGCAAATATCAAGCGTATCGAACGAATTATACGGGCTTTTTCGAATGTCTCCGTCTCTCGAAAAGAAAAGAGAAGATGAAACGAGGTTTAGCTATTATCCGAATTTCAAGAAAGTCAAATCAAGATCCCGGTTTTGCCCAAAGGATCGGTTAAAGGAAAATGGCTATGTATTTTACATATGTTAAGCCATTCTAATAATAAGTACCGAATAGATCAATCCCAGCCAGACCCACTACTCGGAGAAGAAAGTATTTTCAAAGTAGTTTCCAAAGTCCACTTCAAGGAAATGGATCGGATCGGATGCCTATAACTGTCTGCATATGTAAAATAATTCTCCAAGTGCCAGGCCTTCACGACTCAACCGAAATTTCTACCAGTTCATATTCTTTAAAAATTATTGGCATGAATACTCAGAAAAATGGATGTTGTTGTTGTTGTTGTAACCGCAAACATATTCCCCAAAGTATTTTTTTTTTGATTTTACGGCAGGCATGCCTTACCGCGGGTGACTTCCTGAACCCCTAACCCGCAGGGATGTTCACCTTTAGTGGCATACACACCGGTGCTGACATATAGTGGGACTGGACTACGGATGATTTTGGATTAATTTCTGGATCAATTTCGAAACTAGTTTCATGTATATACTCCACGCACTACTCAGATGGTATACAGAGATGGAATATATGATCCAGTTCTAGGACATCGCGGTGCCAATTGGATCATATCTTTTGTGTGCATTGCAATGAGTTTTCGATTACTTCAACTTTACACGCGAATGGAGAAGTCGTATTGTTTGCAGGGTATTCTCAAATCGGCAACCACTACAAACAAACTTAACCGAAATTAATCCGAAGAAACAGAAGAAACAGCGGCTTATTAATATTGTCCAATTGAGGAGAATGCGAAATATATTCAAGTTGAGCACTTGGCGCGTTAAAAAAAAAATTTTGGTTTATATCCAATGCTATAGGAGGCCCCTGACGCTGCGCGGACGCCCCTCGCTTACTCAGCAAGGGAGCATGTATGGGAAGACGCAAACAGATCAGACTAGATATCTGATCTGGATGAACAGAATGAACAGGAAGCATTTAGCCAGCACAAAAATATATGCAAGGATTTACGCTGCTCAAGTAAACATGTATGTCGTTGTCTTTTGTAAAATTCCGGTAGAAAATTTGACTTGATAAATGGTGCAAAAAGAAGCTTTTGAGAATTGCAAAATTTTTGAATAAGAGCGTGGGCGTGAATAGTATTAGCACCAAGTAGGCTTAGCTATCTTAGGAGAATATAATCTATTAATCCCTTTTATTTTAAAAATTAGTTTTTTTAATTTATCAACATTGATACGATAATTCATGTAACTTAATATAATAAAAACAAACAATATGTTTACCTACTGCAGTCCACCTTATCTAACAGATCCCATGACTCCTGATGCCGAAATTTTCCCAATCAAAATTCCCAATGGCTCCACTTTTTTAAGCCTCTAAGTACACAATCAGGCCAATAAATATTAATGTTTGCAATGTATGCAATTGACTAGACAATTTTTTCAACAATAACACAAGTTAATACTCTACTTAAAGCTAAGCAGCAGCAGCAGAAGCAGCAGCGGTAGCAATGGCAGAGGACGCGCGGCAGAAAACAGAAATCAATTGAGTCATTAAACAATTGCTCAAGCACATATACATATATGCGTCGTATATGTATATAGGAAGCCAACAAACTAACCAACCAATGGACAATCTAACAAAATTCAAACCTAATTAATCCCACTACTAATAACGGTACACAAGGCGAAAATCAACGTATGATTACACTCTACCTTCACCATCGCCATCACCGCTGCCGCAGTAGTGCAATGCGGGCTGTAACATTGCAAACATAAATTTTCCAACCCACTTCTGTCACCTGTTAAGTGTACGCCATAAAAATCACGGTATAATAATATTTTATACATTTTCGAGTGTTATGGGATTCGTTTAGCTCATAAATGGTTTGGTTGGCGTGATTGCAAGACGTTAAATCACTTCAAATTCCAAATTGTTATACATACATTACGCTGACAGGTGATATCAGTTGAAATATATATGTATGTATGTATGTATGTATGTATGCACATATATACATATAGATTATATAAAGATTTAATTCGTCATTAAAGTGTGTTTGTGTGTGTGCGTGAATGCTTTGGCTTCCTTTGATAAGTTTTGACCATCGATGGTTGAGGGCTCGCGTAACTACGGTTGGTGGCATTAAATAAAAATACAAATAAAAATTAAAACACTAGCAACAAAAACTCAACACACACACACAAATAGATTAATATTTATTTATAATATGTGATTAATTTATTTTTATTTTTTGATCGCACAACAGCGAAAAGAGCGACAACAGGGAACCTTGTTTGAGCTTAAAAGATAATAGTGAAAATAGAATTATTAATATTTACAAATAAAATATATGTATACATATATACTAGCTTAAATATCTTAACAAACATATGTACATATTTATTTTGTATAAAGTCTTTATCGAATACCATCGTATTGGGTAATGATGATTGGTAAAGTTATCGACGGCCATCATTATCAGCTAAAGAAGACACTCTAATCACTTAAGCTATATTTGGTATTAATCAGAATGTGACTTTTTTTCTAATTAAATATGTATGTAGGTATACATATGCAATATGCTGTCCATTAGTATTGGTGGGTTTTACTGGTGACGCTTATGCATTGATGAGTTGCTTATATTATCTTGATTTAGTTACAGGCTTAACGGTAAAAAAGTAATGTCTGATAAGACTAGACATATATACTACATATGTATGTATTTGCTTTGCACTGAAATATCAAACTGGTTAGAAATGGTCCTAATATGCTACCAGAGTTTTCTGTCTGCAGGCCAAACTACTAAGCAAGAATACCATGGTGACATAAAAACCCAATTAAATAATGTATTTTATTTTATACGTTTTTTCATTTCAATTTATATATGACTCTAAAAAATAATAAGTCTTTATATGATATGTAATATTAATACCTTAATATTATATACTTTTGGATCTCAATTATTCATTGGTTTTTCTTTGTATATTGTTCATTATTTATATTTATAATAATTTTCTAAAACGTATTTTAATATATATATTTTTATATTATTAATATTTTTACTATTGTTATTATTAATAGTTTCATTAATTATTATTTACTATTTTTTTATTAGTTTCAATTTATTATTTTCTAGTTATAATTTTTTGTACATTATTGATTATTTATTACTTATTATTTTCAATACATTTGAATATTTTTTTTTTATTTTTTGTACTTTATTTATAATTATTTTCTATTTTTTTGATTCCTAATTTTTCATTAGTTTTGTGTATATTACTAATTATTTATATTTATTATTCTTTTTGATAATGTATATTATTATATATATTTTGTTGTTATTATTATTTTTATATATTTATTAATTTATATTTATTTTTTTATTATTTGCAATTTTTTATTTTTTATTTGTTTTTTTTTTATTTTTTTTTGTATTATTATTATTACATTATTTATTACTTAAACACATATGTATATTGTTTTTTAATTATTTATTTTTTCGTAGTTTATTTAAAATTATTTTTTAGAATTATTAGTTACAATTAATTTTTTTATCATTAATAATTTGTTTTTATTTATTGTTATTAATTTTGAATTTTCAGAATATTTTTATTATATAATTTGTTTTTTAACCATTATTTATTATCTATTTTTAATTAATCATTTACTATTTTTTATATTTTATTTATCATTCTATATTCATAATTTTTTATTATTTATTTTATGAACTATTTTTAGTATATTTTATTCTACTTATTATTTATTTATAATACCGTTTTATATGTTATATTTTCATTTATTGTTTATTTTCTATTGTTTATTATTAATTTTTTGTTGTTTATGTTTTTTTATGATTCACGTTGTACATGACATTTTTCAAAACAGTATAAGATCAGTAGTGCTTACATGGCTCACAAGTTTAGAAGTACTATATATATTTAATTATTGATATTTTATACTGCGGGGTATTCACGGTTTATTAACGTAAGTTTATAAATATGTGGTAGGTACGTAAGTATGTAGGTGCTTATGCCAAAGAATTTATCGCTATTAAGTCCGGCTAATAAGGCTTAGGAAACATACTTTTGTTGATATATAATATTATATTGAAAATCGGTTTTGATGGACAACTTTCAAAGTATTCCGGAGAAGAAAAAAATTATAGCGGAATTCAAAAATTATACGAATATGTATATAGATAATTTTTTGTTAATATTAATAATAATTATTATTACGCGCATGTACATATGTCGATTATTATTTTCTTTTTACCTTTGATGTGCGCCTCATACCCAACAATTTGCCTAAAATAATTCGTAAAGCGCTTAATGGGTTTTTTTTATTGTTTTCATTTTGCTTATCACATGATTATACGCTTATTTTGTTCAACTCAAACACTCAATGAGTAATAACCAAAATTTTCAAAGAGATTAGAAAAATATTAATTCTACTGATAAACACTGAATCACGCAACGTTCACGCAATTCCAGATAAAAATACATTTAGTGTAATGTCAATTTCACGGAATATTGTCTGAATTTAAATTCTTTTTGAAAAATTTTTTTAAATGAAAGGCAATTTATAGTGATTTATAATAGAGATGGAAAAATATATTTGTATGTGGTTGATATACATAATACAAATGATTGACGTACTGTCTCACTTACAACTATTGGTTATTTCAATCGGTGCAAGAGAATAATTATAGTATTTTTTATTGATATTTCTCAAGAAAGAAAAAAGGAGACTCATAAGTTATTCAATTTGTGTGATTGAAAGTAAATTTAATGTTGCAAAAAAGCCCTATCATTGGTTTAATAAGTTTTTAAAAAAAAAAAAAAACATATTAATATTTTTTTAAAGAATTTTTCCAAACTGTTTTCTAATAATCCATAAGGTCCAAAGAACCATATAATATTTAACAGATATATTTCTAACTTGCTCTATTCTTTTTTTAGGCAGCTGCTTTGCTTTCCGATCAGAGCTCGAGTTTGAGCTGCTCTACTCTATTTTCAGTCTTAATAAGCAAACCTATTATTATAATTATTTTTTTTTAGTCATTCCCTTAAACTAAATGAAATCAAAAATAAGCTAACATTTGGCTGTTTAACTTTATTTTTTTATCACTGTTGAGTGCAATTTCTGTCTGTTTTTCTACTTATTTTTTTTTACTTAATTTTGCATAAGTTAGTTAAGTACTCATTATTTTATTTTAATCTGAGTTTGAATGATTTTTCAAATCTTGATAATTACTTTCTATTTTTTTTTAATTATAAAAATTTTGTACATATACATGCAAGTAAATGTATTCAATAATTTAACAGTATATACGGAATGTTTGAAATTATTCCTGTAATGAGCACTTTTGCCGCAGGATTAAAGTCGCTTATCACCAACAGTTACAATATCCCTCTAGCTGCGAGATGAAAGCGATATGCTCACTAATTTGACAAATGCTACCATTCAACGAATACATTAAGAAAATGCTCCTTTGTTTTTGTTTTAATTTCAAATATAAGTGCAACCACTATTACGACAATCTGACATTACTGTGAAGAAACTTGATTTGATTTAAGAGCGGCTCAGCTCTAAAAATAGAAAATGTATACATCGAGTTAAACATGCACACGCTGGTATATATGTGCATATGTATGTATATATTTTGAACTATGATGGATATGGGATGTGGCGTGCAAAGTTGAAATTTGCACTCATATCCTTGGCATTTATGTATGTAGGTGGAGTATGGGCTTTTAATAGACACTTTTATGTAAAAAGCTATTAGACAATAAACCGATTAGTGACATAAAATACTTTAGCACTCATTTTGTTAGTTTCTTTGTTACCGATAAACCGATTTTGGGCGCAATTTTCTAGAGTTCAAAGTGAATGCGATATGTGAAGATATGTTAATTAAGGATTTCAACTATAAAATTATAATTAGACAGGAATAGAGCGAAAGAAGTTTTGTTAAATGGTAGGAAATCATTAGAAATTATTATGCAGTAAAATATTTGTTTTTGTTTTAATTTAGAAACTGATTTTGAACACTTTTTAAAACAACTGTTTCTATGACCAATAACAATAATAATAATTAGAATAATCCAAACTGAGAGTTCCTTTTTTTAATCTGTTTAAAATATGTATAAATTACTCACCTCATCGAGTGGACAACCAGTGGATCGCAATACTGTATGCGATTGCAGCACGAGCAATTTTAATAATTTATCCTTAATTTCACCAAATGATGACGGTTTGGAACGTAGTATGACTATACGTAGTGTGATTACCGAGGTTAACTCGCCGATTATATCACTGACGGGCACAACTGGATTATCGGAGATCATTTCCAGCGGTATGGGCTTCCAATTTTTTATCATAATGGAACCTGTGGAATTTATGTAAGAGAATTAGCACACTAATTTTAAATGCATATATGAACATAATTATGTATGTAATAAAATTCTAAATATATTTTTATAATTTTTTTATGATAAAAAACTAGCCTTTCTTATAGACCACTCACCTCTTGCCGTATTCACCGCCTCTTGTGAGTAGCCGAGTCGCTGCAACGCTGTCTGGACTAACTCCGACCATGGTGTTGCTGCTGCCATAATCACATAACTGTCTGTTTCTATATTCGTGCGTCGTTTCCATGGTGTACGCGAGTCGATGGCCAGTGAGGCCTGCAGCGAATGCACCGATTCGACGACACAATGCAACGGTAGCGATTTTGCTGCAAGTAAAATAAAAAAGAAGAGAGTAATGTAAATTGTTGTTTAGCATAGAAAATTGTCAACAGATTTTTCTTTAAGACAATAAAAAATATGAATATAAGCAAAAGATTTCTTACAATACGCTGAGCTCTTTTCCTCTCTGATCTTCATTTAAAACAAAATACACAGTCGTGTAATCGCAAAATACTGTCTCAACTCAGTTGGTTGACAAAGTGCGCAAGAGCTTATACGTTAAAATGTTAAAATATGTTTAACAAGAAAATAATTAATTACATTTATTATTGGTGAATTATTGCCTTTTTGTATATAACACCATTAAAGGTTGGTGGTGATGACAATTGTGTTTATGTGCCTTAATGCTTTCATTCGCATCAGCGTCTTGCTTATAAACTCTGAAAAAAAATGTTTTTTAATCTATTTTATTTTATTCCATTTTATTTTACTTCATTTTATTATTTTTTTATTGTTTTTTTTTATTTTGTATTAGTTTTGTTTATATTATTTGGTTTTGTTTTACTTGTTTTATTTTATTTTAATATATATAATTTTAATTTAAGAAATTTTATTTTGTTTCATTTTATTATATCATAATATATTATATAATATTTTAATTTATTTTATTCTTTTGTTTTTTATTTAAGTTAATTTTATTTTATAGTTTTTATTTATTTTAATTTTTTTTCTTTCGTGTTTTATACATATAATATATTTTATAATTCATTTTATTTTAATTTATTTGATTTTTTTTAATTAATTTTATTTAATTATATTTAATTTTTATTATATTTATTCTTTTTTTATTTCGTATTATTTGTATTAAATTTTCTTTTATCTTTATGTTTTTTTATTGAATTAGTGTTGATTTAGATTATTTTCGCATGACTTGGATCTTTGTTTTTATAGTTGGCTATTGCATGATTTTTTGGAATATGTATGTAAATACTTTGTACAAATACATAGAATATGTGAAATGCGCAACTCAAGTTCTTCAAATATTTTTGTAAATAAATTTTCATATTTATGTTTACAAATAAAAGCTACGTTGTTGCCATTAGCAACTTTTAAGTCACTTTTTAATTGATTTAAAATATTTTTGCTAGACCAAAACATTTTTTTAAATTTTATTTCTGGATCGGGATCCCGTTTTCAACTTTTGTGTAACATTTAAAATTTATTGTTTATTGCTAAAGTTTTATACATACCATGTATGTAAATATATAAGGATGCATTTGCCTAATTCTGTATAGTATTTTCAGAAATATACATATGTATATATGTATGTGTATTTATATACCTTCTTTTTTGAAAACCTGCAAAGTATGGCCACTGTCCTGCCCCCCATCCATTCTCAATGCTGATATTTCTAACATTTTAAATGGCTTATATTTATTTGAGTAGGATTATTACCCTTATCTTATGAGATATAAGGATAGCCTTTGGCTTGTCGCTATTAATCTGTAACTTTGTTTCAATAATTTCGTTTTTTTTACTTTTTTGGTTATTGAAATGCAGAACTTTATTCATGGAAAGATATCTAACGAATGAGCTAGCTCTATATGTATGTAGTTAGATCAAAAAAATGACAGTTGATAGATTTTAGAAAAATTATTCCCAAATGATATATATTCATACATACATACAAATGTATCAACATATTATTTTATATGAATGGAAATTTTTAATTTAAATGCATAAAAAATATTAAATGCGCAATAGAAAAAGTTTTCGTAATACAAATACGTATTAAAATCATATTAAATTCAAATTATAGCAGTTCATTTGCATTTATGGGCGTATTTCAAAAATACTATATAGCAGATGTAAAGTGTTAAAAAAAAAAAAACTGTATTGCAATTTTTTATTTAATTTCATTTTTTTTTGGAATCACAGCTAAAAAGGTATATCCATTATGGCATACAAATTATGAAAATAATTAAATTAAATTATTTCTTTAACTCAAATGCCTCTAATGGAAAATATTATGCCACAATATTTATCTACTATATCTCAGCCCTCCTACCACGCTCATATCAGTTACTCCATATTCAGAAAGAAAGAAAAAAAATTTAACGAAATATCTATCCGAAATAGCTTATTATCGCTGCTTAGCCAAAATCCGTCAACAACCCGCGTCGCCTTAATGACCTTATCAGCGTGGCCTTGTTCGCACATAAATAAATCCTGTGACAACTGCTGAACGCACAGAGACATTAAATAAAAGAAGGAAAAAGGAAAATTGAACCATAACCAAAAAAAAAAAAAAAATAATAATAATCAATGCTAACTTATCGGCAGCGTATTGCCGCTTTAAAGCCACGTCTTTCCTGCACACACACATACACACACTTACACAAGTGCATAACAATTGCAAACGAACGGCGATAAGCCAAAGTTAAACCATCCTCCCCTCAATTGATTTCTGGCAATTTTTTGTCGCGCAGATAGACGCGTGCCAACCTCCCTGTAGTGGTTTAAGTTATGTCTACATAAATACTTACTTACATAAATCATACTATACATACATACAAACATATGTATGTACATACATACATATTTTGTACTTAAGTAGTATGAATTTCATTTAAAATTGTCTTGTGCTGTTCAAGCGTTCATCGAAGGCAGAATGCTTTTCATTTTTTCCGGCTTTTCATTTTTTCTGCTTTGTTGTTGTACTCTTATTTGCTTTATCTGTTCTTCTGTGGCAACAGCTTCATTATTTTTATATTACCACTATGAGCTGTACGCAACGCTAAATCCACGTGCTCTTTATAATATTCTCGTTCTTTGGGCTCTTACTTAATAAATCCTCGGCCACTTAATATTGCCTGGTGGTTAACAACAGGACGAGATCATAAAGGAATGCATACGTACACATGTACATACATACACATTTTTCTCTTATCTGCTTCTCGGCATGCTACAAATTACAAAGATGACATGATAGCATCGTGGATTTGGTAACCGAATCGATTCAATTGCCTTAAAGAGGGTGTAAGTATGCACGCAAACATTCATATATATATCCGTCATATAGAACTTCATGTACTTACAAATTTACATATGTGAGTCTTCACAGTAATTGTGAATTGCAAATAAAAAAAGGAAACAAAATTACAAAATAAAATCAATATTAATGCAATAAAAATAATGAAAAAAATAACTTTAAATAAAATAGAATAAATTAAAGTAAAATAAAATTAAATAAAGTGAAATCAAATAAACAACAATAATTATTAAAAATAAAATAAAACAAAATGAAATTAGATAAAATAAAATAAAAAATAAAACAAGATTAAATAAAATAAATAAATAAAATGAAAATAAGTAGAAAAAATATAATTAAAATAAAATAAATTAAAATTAATTTAAATAAAACAAAACAAAAAAATTAAATAAATTAGAAAAAATAAAATAAAATAGAAAAAAAAAAATAAAATGAAATAAAATAAAATAAAATAAAATAAAATGAAGTAAAATAAAAAAATAATAATATAAAGTAAAATAAAATAAAACAAATTAAAATAAAACAATTTAATATAAAATAAAATGAAATTATTAATTTAATTAAATAATAGCTTCACTAGTGAGTTGCGCTGGGGCCTATATATCTTCTTTTGTCGTATACAAATATGTTTTGTAAGAAGAAACTTAATTTCTACATATTTTTTAGCACTATCTTTATTATTTTTATATATGTATAATTTTAAATTATGACGTAATTAATTGTTTTTGCTTATAACTTTGCAAAAAGCTTTGCGAAATTGTGAAATTCGGTTGGTAGTTCATTATAATAATTTGGATTGTTTTCTTTGCTGAAATTTTTCATATTTAATTTTGAAAAATTTGAAAAACATTTTTCAAAAATATGCTTTTAGACTTTTTAGATTAGTCAGAAATTCGGATAAATATTTAAAAAATATGAATCTTTCTCTTCACTTTTTAAAATACGCCTAAAATTATAGGAACATTTTTTAGATCGCGCTGCTTTATCAACATTGCTGAATATTCCAGCTGACAAACATTTATTTTTTAATTTATAACTACAAGGCCAAACAAAGAAAATATATTAAAATCCTTTATTGAAATTATTTTGGATTTTTTACTTAATGGACTTTAACTAATACTTCTATATATACTTCTATATATACATACATACATACATACGTACATATGTACATTTTAATTGGAATGTAGAACTGAATCCTTTCCACATATTACAGCTCATTATGGAAATAATGCTAATTTTTTCCGTATGTATTTAAGTTACGCTAATTCCAACGCACTTCTCAGCATATGTACATACATGCACATACCTCTACATACATATGCACTAAAACACAAAAGCCTGGCGGTGCGTTCTTCTAAAAGCGTATTTTTGTGCGTACGCACAGCAAATAAGGACATAATCCATAACGCCACCGCTGCCGCCGTCAATTCAATCGGCCATATTTTCCTTACTTTGAATTTTGCACCCGCAGGCTATGAGATAAAAAAAAAAACTGGTGAAGCGAATTTATGCCTACATTTGCAAGCACATTCCTACAAAGTCGTATAGTATGTCCATTTTCGAAATCATTTACCTACACACGTATGCATATGTATATGTTGATAGCTGTGTGGAGCGTAGCCGCTGAGTGGCTGCATGAAATCCGCTTTTGTTTTAACCTCAAATCATGGTCGCGGATAATGGATTTAATGAGTTTATTATTGGCGGTCATAATAGTGAGATGGAGGAAGGTAGACTAACCGTTAATGGTGGGAGTATGTATTTTTGTAACTACTTATGTACATATGTTTGTATATTTTTATATTCTCTTAGTATATATGTATATTGATGGACAGTATGGATGGATTGTGCATCCTGAAGGGAAGCATGGATTTGTTCATAAAAAATACCAATTTCTTGTTTATTGTTGTGCTACTGATGAAATACAGAAATGACATAATTCCAAATATTTAAATTTTTACGGGATGCTTCAATCAATTTAATTAAGCAATA